GCCCGGGGGAAGGGGGGAGGGGGGTTGTGGTTGGTGGGGGGGGGGGGGTGGGGATGCAGATGCTGATGCCTGTTGGAGAATGGGGTTTAATGGGGGGAGCTGGGACAGGGGGATGTGGGGCTGGGAGCTTGGGGTGTCTGGAGGCTCGTGGTTCTTTGGGGGTGTTGGGGATGCAGATGCTGGTGCGCATTGGAGACCGGGGCTCTGTTGGGATGCTCTGGGATGTGGGGTGTGGGTCCTTGTGGGGCTGGGTACCTGGTGGTACGGGGGGTATGTGGGGGCTTGTGGTCCTTTGGGGGGGTCTACAGGTGCAGGTGCTGCTGTCCATTGGAGAATGGGGTCTACTTGGGGGTCTGGGACAGGGGGATGTGGGGCTGGGAGCTTGTTGGGGTCTGGATGCTCGTGGTTCTTTCAGGGTGTTGGGGATGCAGATGCTGGTGCCCATTGGAGAATGGGGTCTATTGGGATGCTCTGGGATGTGGGTCCTTGTGCGGCTGGGTGCCTGGGGATATGGGGGGTGTCTGGGAGCTTGTGGTCCTTGGGGGGGGATGCAGATGATGGGGCCCGTTGGAGAATGGGGTCTGTTGGGATGCTGGGGGATGTGGGTCCTTGTGGGGCTGGGTGCCTGGGGATATGGGGGTATGTGGGGGCTTGTGGTTCTTGGGGGGGGGGGGGGGCTGGGGATGCAGATTTTGGTGCCCGTTAGAGAATGGGGTTTATTGGGGGGGTCTGAGACAGGGGGATGTGGGGCTGGGAGCTTGGGGGTGTCTGGATGCTCGTGGTTCTTTGGGGGTGTTGGGGATGCAGATGCTGGTGCCCATTGGAGAATGGGGTCTGTTGGGATGCTCGGGGATGTGGGTCCTTGTGGGGCTGGGTGCCTGGGGATATGGGGGTATGTGGGGGCTTGTGGTCCTTGGGGGGGGGGGGGGGGGATGCACATGCTGGTGCCTGTTGGAGAATGGGGTTTAATGGGGGGGTCTGGGACAGGGGGATGTGGGGCTGGGAGCTTGGGGGTGTCTGGATGCTTGTGGTTCTTTGGGGGTGTTGGGGATGCAGATGCTGGTGCGCATGGGAGACCGGGGCTCTGTTGGGATGCTCTGGGATGTGGGGTGTGGGTCCTTGTGGGGCTGGGTACCTGGTGGTACGGGGGGTATGTGGGGGCTTGTGGTCCTTTGGGGGGGTCTACAGGTGCAGGTGCTGCTGTCCATTGGAGAATGGGGTCTACTGGGGGGTCTGGGACAGGGGGATGTGGGGCTGGGAGCTTGGGGGTGTCTGGATGCTCGTGGTTCTTTGGGGGTGCTAGGGATGCGGATGCTGGTGCGCATTGGAGAATGGGGTCTGTTGGGATGCTCGGGGATGTGGGTCCTTGTGGGGCTGGGTGCCTGGGGATATGGGGGGTATGTGGGGGCTTGTGGTTCTGGGGGGGGGGGTGGGGATGCAGATGTTGGTGCCTGTTAGAGAATGGGGTTTAATGGGGGGGGCTGGGACAGGGGGATGTGGGGCTGGGAGCTTGGGGGTGTCTGGAGGCTCGTGGTTCTTTGGGGGTGTTGGGGATGCAGATGCTGGTGCCCGTTGAAGAATGGGGTCTGTTGGGATGCTCTGGGATGTGGGTCCTTGTGGGGCTGGGTGCCTAGGGATATGGGGGTATGTGGGAGCTTGTGGTTCTTGGGGGGGGGGGGATGCAGATGCTGGTGCCTATTGGAGAATGGGGTCTGTTGGGATGCTCGGGGATGTGGGTCCTTGTGGGGCTGGGTGCCTGGGGATATGGGGGTATGTGGGGGCTTGTGGTCCTTGGGGGGGGGGGGGGTGGAGATGCAGATGTTGGTGCCTGTTAGAGAATGGGGTTTAATGGGGGGGTCTGGGATAGAGGGATGGGGGGCTGGAAGCTTGGGGGTGTCTGGATGCTTGTGGTTCTTTGGGGGTGTTGGGGATGCAGATGCTGGTGCCCATTGGAGAATGGGGTCTGTTGGGATGCTCGGGGATGTGGGTCCTTGTGGGGCTGGGTGCCTGGGGATATGGGGGTATGTGGGGGCTTGTGGTCCTTGGGGGGGGGTGGGGATGCAGATGGTGGTGCCTGTTGGAGAATGGGGTTTAATGGGGGGGGTCTGGGACAGGGGATGTAGGGCTGGGAGCTTGGGGGTGTCTGGAGGCTCGTGGTTCTTTGGGGGTGTTGGGGATGCAGATGCTGGTGCCCGTTGGAGAATGGGGTCTATTGGGATGCTCGGGGATGTGGGTCCTTGTGGGGCTGGGTGACTGGGGATATGGGGGATATGTGGGGGCTTGTGGTTGTTGGGGGGGGATGCAGATGTTGGTGCCCATTAGAGAATGGGATTTATTGGGGGGGGCTGAGACAGGGGGATGTGGGGCTGGGAGCCTGGGGGAGTCTGGATGCTTGTGGTTCTTTGGGGGTGTTGGGGATGCAGATGCTGGTGCCCGTTGGAGAATGGGGTTTGTTGGGATGCTCGGGGATGTGGGTCCTTGTGGGGCTGGGTGACTGGGGATATGGGGGTATGTGGGGGCTTGTGGTTCTTGGGGGAGGGGGCTGGGGATGCAGATGTTGGTGCCCATTAGAGAATGGGGTTTAATGGGGGGGTCTGGGACAGGGGGATGTGGGGCTGGGAGCTTGGGGTGTCTGGAGGCTCGTGGTTCTTTGGGGGTATTGGGGATGCAGATGCTGGTGCGCATTGGAGAATGGGGTCTGTTGGGATGCTCTGGGATGTGGGGATGTGGGTCCTTGTGGGGCTGGGTGCCTGGTGATATGGGGGGTATGTGGGGGCTTGTGGTTCTTGGGGGAGGGGGCTGGGGATGCAGATGTTGGTGCCCATTAGAGAATGGGGTTTATTGGGGGGGTCTGAGACAGGGGGATGTGGGGCTGGAAGCTTGGGGGTGTCTGGATGCTCGTGGTTCTTTGGGGGTGTTGGGGATGCAGATGCTGGTGCCCATTGGAGAATGGGGTCTGTTGGGATGCTCTGGGATGTGGGTCCTTGTGGGGCTGAGTGCCTGGGGATATGGGGGGTATGTGGGGGCTTGTGGTTCGGGGGGGGGGGGGCGTGGGGGATGCAGATGCTGGTGACTATTGGAGAATGGGGTCTGTTGGGATGCTCTAGGATGTCGGTCCTTGTGGGGCTGGGTGCCTGGGGATATGGGGGTACGTGGGGGCTTGTGGTTGTTGGGGGGGTTTAAAGGTGCAGGTGCTGCTGTACTGGGGGGGCTGGGACAGGGGGATGTGGGGCTGGGAGCTTGGGGGTGTCTGGATGCTCGTGGTTCTTCGGGGGTGTTGGGGATGCAGATGCTGGTGCCCATTGGAGAATGGGGTTTAATGGGATGCTCTGGGATGTGGGTCCTTGTGGGGCTGGGTGCCTGGGGATATTGGGGGGGGGGTAGGGTGTCTGGGGGCTCGGGTGCTTGTGGTCCATTGGGGGGGTCTGGGGCCGCAGATGCCTTTGGGGATATGGGGGTGCAGATGCTTGCTTGGAGAACGGGGTCTGTTGGGGGGTCTGGGACTCGGGGATGTGGGGCTGGGGGTCACTGGGGGCCCAGGTACTTTTGGGGGTGTTGGGGGTGCAGATGTTTGTGTCCATTGGAGAATGGGGTCTATTGGGATGCTCTGGGATGTGGGGATGTGGGTCCTTGTGGGGCTGGGTGCCTGGTGGTACGGGGGGTATGTGGGGGCTTGTGGTCCTTTGGGGGGGGTCTGCAGGTGCAGATGCTGGTGTCCATTGGAGAATGGGGTTTATTGGGGGGTCTGGGACAGGGGGATGTGGGGCTGGGGGGCACTGGGGGGTGCCTGAATCCTCGTGGTCCTTTGGGGGGGGTCTGGGGTCGCAGATGCCTTTGGGGGTATTGGGGGTGCAGATGCTCCCTTGGAGAACGGGGGTCTGTTGGGGGGTCTGGGAGAGGGGGATGTGGGGCTGGGGGGCACTGGGGACCCAGGTACCTTTGGGTGTGTCGGGGGTGCAGGTGCTGGTGTCTGTTGGAGAACGGGGTCTGTTGGGGGGTCTGGGACTCGGGGCTGTGGGGCTGGGGGGCACCTGGGTGCTCGTGGTCCTTTATGGGTGCCTGGGCGCAGGCGCCGGTGCCCATTGGAGGACGTGGTCCATGGGGATGCTCCGGATGCCGGGGGGGGGCTCTGGGTGCTCGGGTTCCTTTGTGTGTGGGGGGGCAGAGCCGCTCCCTCTTAGGGCTCTCTATGGGGCTGCCCCCTCCCCACGGGGGGGTCGCTCCCCCCCAATCCCGTTCCGTTCCCCCCCCCCACCTCCAGCCCCGACCTCCTGAAGCCGGAGCTGCTCCTGCCCAAGCTGGACGCGGCCATGGCGCAGGTGGCGCTGCCCTCCTGCCCCCGGGGCCCCCCCTCGCCCCGCAGCCGCCGCTCCAAGGGCCGGCACCGCAAAGCGGGGCCGCGGGGGGGCTGCGGGGAGCCCCCAACCCCCCCCCGCGGGGCTCCCCCCCCGGCTTCCCCCGGCCCCGACCTCCTCGGGGGGACCCTGGAGGCGGCGCCTCCGGATGCGGGACCCGCGGGGGGGGCGGAGGCGGCGGCCCCCGGGACCCCCCCCCCGCAGGTGCCCCCCCCCGGGGAGCCCGAGCGGGAGAGCGCGGCCGCGAGGGGGGGCCGGGGGGGGGCCGCGCAGCACCTGACCCCCGCGGCGCTGCTCTACCGGGCCGCAGTGACCAGGGGGCAGGTGGGAGCCCCAGCGTCCTATGGGGCAGCCGGGGGGAGATGGGGATGGGGATGGGGATGGGGATGGGGATGGGGGGGGTCCAGGGTCCTATGGGGCAGCCGGGGGGAGATGGGGATGGGGGGGGCCAGGGTCCTATGGGGCAGCCGGGGGGAGATGGGGATGGGGATGGGGGGGGGGGGGGGGGCAGGGGGGGAGATGGGGATGGGGATGGGGATGGGGGGGGGCCAGGGTCCTATGGGGGCAGCCGGGGGGGGGGGGGGGGGGGGTCCAGGGTCCGATGGGGGCAGCCGGGGGGGGACGACCCTGTGGATGCATCCTATGGGGGGTGGGATGGGGGGGGGGGGGGTGTGTGTTGGGGTCCCTCCTGGTGATGGGGAGGATCCAGGGTCCTATGGGTGAATCCTATGGGGGTGGGGATGGGGATGGGGATGGGGGGGGGCCAGGGTCCTATGGGGGCAGCCGGGGGGAGATGGGGATGGGGATGGGGGAGGTCCAGGGTCCTATGGGGGCAGCCGGGAGGGGGGGGAACCCTGTGGATGCATCCTATGGGGGGTGGGATGGGGGGGGGGGGTTGGGGTCCCTCCTGGTGATGGGGAGGATCCAGGATCCTATGGGTGCATCCTATGGGGCAGGGGGTGGGATGGGGAACCATGGGGGGCGGGGGGTTGGGGGTGTCAGGACCCTGTGGGTGCATCCTATGGGGGTGGGGTTGAGGTCCCTCTGGTGATGGGGAGGATCCAGGGTCCTATGGGGGCAGCCGGGGGGAGATGGGGATGGGGGGGTCCAGGGTCCTATGGGGGGCAGCCGGGAGGGGGGGGGGAACCCTGTGGGTGCATCCTATGGGGGGTGGGATGGGGGGGGGGGGGGTTGGGGTCCCTCCTGGTGATGGAGAGGATCCAGGGTCCTATGGGTGCATCCTATGGGGGGGTGGGATGGGGAACCCTGAGGGGGGGTTTGGGGGTATCAGGACCCTGTGGGTGCATCCTATGGGGGTGCCGGGGGGGGGGTTGGGGTCCCTCCTGGTGATGGGGAGGAATCCAGGACCCTATGGGTGCATCCTATAACAGGGATGGGAAACCCCGGAGGGGGGGGGGGGGGTGGGGGGTCCCTGCTGGTGATGGGGGGGGGGGTGTATCAGGGCCCCTGGGTCCCTACGGCGGGGGCAGGACCCCAACCCCTCTGCTGTGCCCCCAGAAGCGGGGGGTGTCCTCAGAGGAAGAGGAGGGTGAAGTGGACAGCGAGGTGGAGCTGCCGCTGCGGCAGAGGTGGGTGCGGGACCCCCGTGGGGCCTTGGGTGCCCAGAGACCAGCGTGGGTGCAGGGGGAGCCTATGGGGTGCTATGGGTGCTAAGAGGTGTCTATGGGTCCTATGTGGTGTATATGGGTGCTAGGAGGTGCTATGGGTTATCTATGGGCTGCTGGGTGTGCTATGGGTGCAAGAGATATCTGGGTGTGCTGTGGGGTCCTGTGGGTGTCTATGGGTGCTATGGGTGTCTTATGGGTGCTATGGGAGCTGTGTGTGCTCTGGGCTATCTATGGGGTGTCTGTGGGTATCTATGGGTGTCCATGGGTGTCTGTGGGGTGCCCACATGTGCTGTGTGTGCTTATGGGGTGTTTATCGGGTGCCCATGAGTGCTGTGTGTGCTATGGAGTATCCATGGGTGTCCATGGGGTGCACATGTGCTCTGTGTGTGCTATGGGATATTTATGGGTGTCCATGGCTATCTATGGATATCTATGGGTGTCCATAGGGTGCCCACACGCGTGCTGTGTGTGCTATGGGGTATCTATGGGGTATCTATGTGTGTCTGTGGGTATCTGTGGGTGTCCATGAGTACCCATGCGTTGTCCATGGGGTGCCCACTCGCTGTGTGTGCCATGGGTATCTATGGGTGTCTATGGGGATCCATGGTTATCTTATGTGTATCTAGGGGTACCCATGTGGTACCTATGTGGTGCCCACACGTGCTGTGTGTGCTATGGGTATCTATGGATGTCCATGCGTGACTATGGGGCGCCCATGCATGCTGTGTGCGCTGTGGGGCATCTATGGGGTGTCTATGTGTGTCTGTGGGTATCTGTGGGTGTCCATGGGTACCCATGTGGTGTCCATGGGGTGCCCACGCACTGTGTGTGTCTATGTGCATCTATATGTATCTATGTGTGTCTATGGGTACCCATGTGGTACCCGTGTGGTAGCCATGCATGCTGTGTGTGCTATGGGTATCCATGGTTACCTGTGTGCATCCATGTTTACCTATGTGGTACCCATGTGGTACCCATGTGATGCCCACGTGAGCTGTGTGTGCTATGGGTATCCATGGTTACCTGTGTGCATCCATGTGTACCTATGTGGTACCCATGTGGTACCCATGTGATGCCCATGTGCTGTGTGTGCTATGGGTATCCATGGTTACCTATGTGCATCCATGTGTACCTATGTGGCCTCCATGTGGTACCCATGTGGTACCCATGTGATGCCCATGTGCGCTGTGTGTGCTATGGGTATCCATGGTTACCTGTGTGCATCCATGTGCACCTATGTGGTACCCATGTGATGCCCATGTGTGCTGTGTGTGCTATGGGTATCCATGGTTACCTATGTGCATCCATGTGTACCTATGTGGTACCCATGTGGTACCCATGTGGTACCCATGTGATGCCCATGTGTGCTGTGTGTGCTATGGGTATCCATGGTTACCTATGTGCATCCATGTGTACCTATGTGGTACCTATGTGGTACCCATGTGGTACCCATGTGGTGCCCATGTGCGCTGTGTGTGCTATGGGTATCCATGGTTACCTGTGTGCATCCATGTGTACCTATGTGGTACCCATGGGATGCCCATGTGATGCCCACGTGCACTGTGTGTGTCTATGGGGTACCCATGTGGTGCCTGTGTGCTGTGTGTCTGTGTATCTATGTGTACACATGTAGTACCCATGTGGTGCCTGTGTGCTGTGTGTCTATGTGTATCTATGTGTACACATGTAGTACCCATGTGATGCCCACATGCTGTGTGTGTCTATGTGTATCTATGCGTACACATGTAGTACCCATGTGGTGCCTATGCACTGTGTGTGTCTATGTGTATCTATGTGTACACATGTAGTACCCATGTGGTGCCTGTGTGCTGTGTGTGTCTATGTGTATCTATGTGTACACATGTAGTACCCATGTGATGCCCACGTGCTGTGTGTGTCTATGGGGTACCCATGTGGTGCCTATGCACTGTGTGTGTCTGTGTATCTCTGTGTATCCATGTGGTACCAATGTGATGCTGTGTGTGTCTGTGTGTATCTGTGTGTATCCATGTGGTACCCATGTGATGCTCATGCTGTGTGTGTCTATGTGTATCTATGTGTATCCATGTGGTACCCATGTGATGCTGTGTGTGTCTGTGTGTATCTATGTGTATCCATGTGGTACCCATGTGATGCTCATGCTGTGTGTGTCTGTGTATCTCTGTGTATCCATGTGGTACCCATGTGATGATGTGTGTGTCTATGTGTATCTATGTGTATCCATGTGGTACCCATGTGATGCTCATGCTGTGTGTGTCTGTGTATCTATGTGTAGACATGTGGTACCCATGTGATGCTGTGTGTGTCTATGTGTATCTATGTGTACACATGTGGTACCCATGTGATGCTCACGCTGTGTGTGTCTGTGTGTATCTGTGTGTATCCATGTGGTACCCATGTGATGCTCATGCTGTGTGTGTCTGTATCTGTGTGTATCCATGTGGTACCCATGTGATGCTCATGCTGTGTGTGTACCCACGTGTGTATCTATGTGTACACATGTGGTACCCATGTGATGCTCATGCTGTGTCTATGTGTACCCATGTGTACCCATGTGACGCCCGTGCACTATGTATGTGTACCCATGCGGCACCCATGTGGTACCCAGATGATGCCCACGCTCTGTGTGTACCCATGTGATGCCCATGCACTGTGTAGGTGTGTCTGTGTGTGTCTGTGTGTATCCATGGGCACCCCATGACCCCCATGCTCTGTGTGTATCCGTGTGTCCCCATAGGTCCCCATAGGTCCCCACACGTTACCCCATGCACTGTGTATGTGTATCCATGTCCCCATAGGTCCCCACACGTTACCCCACGCACTGTGTATGTGTATCCATGTCCCCATAGGTCCCCACACGTTACCCCACGCCCTGTGTATGTGTATCCATGTCCCCATAGGTCCCCACACGTTACCCCACGCACTGTGTCTGTGTATCCGTGTGTCCCCATCCCCATGTGTCTATGTGCATCCATGTCCCCATAGGTCCCCACACGTTACCCCACGCACTGTGCCTGTGTCCCCATAGGTCCCCACACGTTACCCCACGCACTGTGTATGTGTATCCATGTCCCCATAGGTCCCCACACGTTACCCCACGCACTTTGTATGTGTATCCATGTCCCCATAGGTCCCCACACGTTACCCCACGCACTGTGTCTGTGTATCCATGTCCCCATAGGTCCCCACACGTTACCCCACGCACTGTGTCTGTGTATCCATGTCCCCATAGGTCCCCACACGTTACCCCACGCACTGTGTATGTGTATCCCTGTGTCCCCATAGGTCCCCATAGGTCCCCACACGTTACCCCACACACTGTGTATGTGTATCCGTGCGTCCCCATAGGTCCCCACACGTTACCCCACGCCCTGTGTCTGTGTATCCCTGTCCCCATAGGTCCCCACACGTTACCCCACGCACTGTGTATGTGTATCCATGTCCCCATAGGTCCCCATAGGTCCCCACACGTTACCCCACGCACTGTGTCTGTGTATCCCTGTCCCCATAGGTCCCCACACGTTACCCCACGCACTGTGTATGTGTATCCGTGTGTCCCCATAGGTCCCCACATGTTACCCCACGCACTGTGTATGTGTATCCATGTCCCCATAGGTCCCCATAGGTCCCCACACGTTACCCCACGCACTGTGTATGTGTATCCATGTCCCCATAGGTCCCCACACGTTACCCCACGCACTGTGTATGTGTATCCATGTCCCCATAGGTCCCCACACGTTACCCCACGCCCTGTGCCTGTGTCCCCATGGGGTCTCCCTGTGCCGCAGGTGGCCCCCGGCCATGAGCCAGCGCCCGTCGCTCTCCACCTTCAGCTCCGAGAACTTCTCTGACGGGGACGGGGACGGGGACGGGGAGGGGCTGACGAGCGAGGCCTCCCCCAGCGCCACCCCCGACGTGGGCAGCACCAACACGGACGAGCGCCCGGACGAGCGCTCCGAGGATTTGCTCTCGCAGGGCTCCGAGATCCCCATGGACGCCGCCCCCCCCGACGGCCCCGCGCGCCCCAAGGTCAGAGCCCCCCCAGGGGGGGGGTGCTGGGGGGGGGGGGTCCTTGGGGTACCCAAGGATGGGGGTAGCGAGGGGAAAGGGGACCCCAGAGGTGGGTGCTATCGGATGCGGGGGGTTCCAGGGTCCTCCAATGCTGCTCATATGGGGTGGGGGGTCCTTAGGGTACCCCAGGATGGGGTTAGCAAGGGGAAAGGGGTCCCCCAGAGGTGGGTGCTTTTGGATGGGGGTTTCTTAGGGTCCCCCAATGCTGCTCATAGGGGGTGGGGGGTCCTTAGGGTACCCCCGGATGGGGTTAGCAAGGGGAAAGGGGTCCCTCGGGTTGGGTGCTTTTGGATGGGGGGGATTCTTAGGGTCCCCCAGAGATGGGTGCTTTTGGATGGGGGTTTCTTAGGGTCCCCCAATGCTGCTCATATGGGGTGGGGGGTCCTTGGGGTACCCCCCAGATGGGGTTAGCAATGGGAAAGGGGACCCCAGAGATGGGGGCTATTGGATGGGGGTTCTTAGGGTCCCCCAATGCTGCTCATACGGGGTGGGGGGGTCCTTAGGGTACCCAAGGATGGGGTTAGCAAGGGGAAAGGGAACCCCAGAGATGGGTGCTTTTGGATGGGGGGGTTCTTAGGGTCCCCCAATGCTGCTCATATGGGGTGGGGGGTCCTTAGGGTACCCCCAGGATGGGGTTAGCAAGGGGAAAGGGGTCCCTCAGGATGGGTGGTTTTGGATGGGGGGGGATTCTTAGGGTCCCCCAGAGATGGGTGCTATCGGATGCGGGGGGTCCCAGGGTCCTCCAATGCTGCTCATATGGGGTGGGGGTCCTTAGGGTACCCCCGGATGGGGTTAGCAATGGGAAATGGGACCCCAGAGATGGGTGCTATTGAATGGGGGGGGGGGTCCCAGGGTCCTCCAATGCAATGGGAAAGGGGGGTTAGCCCCTCGGGATGGGTGCTTTTGGAAGAGGGTTTCTTAGGGTCCCCCAATGCTGCTCATATGGGGTGGGGGGTCCTTGGGGTACCCCCCGGATGGGGTTAGCAAGGGGAAAGGGGGCCCTCGGGATGGGTGCTTTTGGATGGGGGTTTCTTAGGGTCCCCCAATGCTGCTCATATGGGGTGGGGGGTCCTTAGGGTACCCCAGGATGGGGTTAGCAAGGGCAAAGGGGACCCCAGAGGTGGGTGCTATTGGATGGGGGGGGTCCCAGGGTCCTCCAATGCTGCTCATATGGGGTGGGGGGTCCTTAGGGTACCCCCCGGATGGGGTTAGCAAGGGGAAAGGGGGCCCTCGGGATGGGTGCTACTGGGTTGGGGGTCCTTAGGGTCCCCCAATGCTGCTCATATGGGGTGGGGGGTCCTTGGGGTACCCAGGGTCCCCCAGTGCTGCTCATATGGCGTGGGGGGTCCTTAGGGTAGCCCCGGATGGGGTTAGCAAGGGGAAAGGGGTCCCTCAGGATGGGTGCTTTTGGATGGGGGTTTCTTAGGGTCCCCCAATGCTGCTCATATGGGGTGGGGGGTCCTTAGGGTACCCCCGGATGGGGTTAGCAATGGGAAAGGGGACCCCAGAGATGGGTGCTATTGAATGGGGGGGGGTCCCAGGGTCCTCCAATGCTGCTCATATGGGGTGGGGGGTCCTTAGGGTACCCCCAGATGGGGTTAGCAATGGGAAAGGGGACCCCAGAGATGGGTGCTTTTGGATGGGGGGGTTCTTAGGGTCCCCCAATGCTGCTCATATGGGGTGGGGGGTCCTTAGGGTACCCCCGGATGGGGTTAGCAAGGGGAAAGGGGACCCCAGAGATGGGTGCTTTTGGATGGGGGGGTTCTTAGGGTCCCCCAATGCTGCTCATATGGGGTGGGGGGTCCTTAGGGTACCCCAGGATGGGGTTAGGAAGGGGAAAGGGGACCCCAGAGATGGGGGCTATTGGATGGGGGTTCTTAGGGTCCCCCAATGATGCTCATATGGGGTGGGGGGGTCCTTAGGGTACCCCCGGATGGGGTTAGCAAGGGCAAAGGGGACCACAGAGATGGGTGCTTTTGGATGGGGGGGTTCTCAGGGTCCCCCAATGCTGCCCATATGGGGTGGGGGGTCCTTAGGGTACCCCCTGATGGGGTTAGCAATGGGAAAGGCGTCCCTCGGGATGGGTGGTTTTGGATGCGGGGGTTCTTAGGGTCCCTCAATGCTGCTCATATGGGGTGGGGGGGTCCTTAGGGTACCCCAGGTTGGGGTTAGCAAGGGGAAACGGGTCCCTCGGGATGGGTGCTATTGGATGCGGGGGGTCCCAGGGTCCCCCAATGCTGCTCATATGGGGTGGGGGTCCTTAGGGTACCCCCAGATGGGGTTAGCAAGGGGAAAGGGGACCCCAGAGATGGGTGCTATTGGATGGGGGGGGTTCTTAGGGTCCCCCAATTCTACTCATATGGGGTGGGGGGTCCTTGGGGTACCCCAGGATGGGGTTAGCAAGGGGAAAGGGGTCCCTCGGGATGGGTGCTTTTGGATGGGGGTTTCTTAGGGTCCCCCAATGCTGCTCATATGGGGTGGGGGGTCCTTGGGGTGCCCCCGAATGGGGTTAGCAATGGGAAAGGGGGCCCCAGAGATGGGTGCTATTGAATGGGGGGGGGGGTCCCAGGGTCCTCCAATGCTGCTCATATGGGGTGGGGGTCCTTAGGGTACCCCCAGATGGGGTTAGCAAGGGGAAAGGGGACCCCAGAGATGGGTGCTATTGGACAGGGGGGTTCTTAGGGTCCCCCAGGGCTGGGTGCTGTGGGATGGGGGGGTCCTTACGGTCCCCCAGGAAGTGACTGGCAATGTGAAAAGGGACCCCCAGGATGGGGGGCTCTAAGGTCACCCAGAGCTTGACATTATGGGATGGAGGGGAGGGGGGGGGGGGGCTTACAGACCCCCAGGGCTGGGACTTAAGGGGAGGGGGGCCTCCAAGGCTGGATCCCATAGGGAAGAGCTTTGGGGTCCCCAAGGTCATGGCGGGGGGGGGGGGGTCTGAGGATGCTGAACCCCCCCTTTGTGTGCCCCCCCCCCAGGTCTCCGAGGACTCGGACTGCGACAGCGCGGAGCTGGATCACTCAGGCAGCGGCGAGGGCCCCCCCCGGCCCACGGCCCCCCCCGGCCTGTGACCCCT